AAAAAAAAAAAGAATAAAGAAATAGTGAAGAAATGGAGGGTGGAGCTATGACTCAATGGTAAATCACTTAACTAAGATGTGCTTCCAGAAAGGCCTGTGTTAATCATGAGTACCACTTTTCTCTGCCTCCTAAGTACAGTAAGTAAGCTGGAGCTGGTGGCTTACGGCTGTAATCCTAGCTACTTAGGAGACTGGTAACCGAAGGTCTCAGACCAAAGCCAGCCCAGACAAGAAGTCCATAAGACTCTTACCTCCAATTAACCACCAAAAGAGGTAGAACTGTACCTCAAGTTGGTAGAGTACTAGCCTTGAGCAAAAAAACAAAAGTCTTAAGGACAGTACCCAGACCTTATTCAAGCCCTAAATAGACATTAGGAACTAATACAGTTTTGCTATTTTATTGTTTCCATTGCTGGTGATTGAACTCAGGTTACTGGGCATGCTGGGCGTGTATTCCACCACTGAGTTACAACCCAGCATTATCAATGCAGTTTTTATTTTTACTTTTTTTTGGTGGGGGGTCCAGTTGTGGAGCCTGAACTCTGGGCCTGGGCGCTGTCCTTCAGCTCAAGGCTAGTGCTCTACCACTTGAGCCACAGCACCACTTCTGACTTTTTTTGTTTTGCTTATGTGGTGCTGAGGAATCGAACCCAGGGCCTCATGCATGCAAGGCAAGCACTCTACCACTGAGCCACCTTCCCAGCCCCTTATTTTTACTTCTTAAATTGAGTCAATGACTTTAAAACTAGACATATGTAAGTGGGTGCCAAATAAGAGCTTCAGGAAAAGTATTTGTAGAGTTTAAATTTTGCTGACTTAATATTTGGAAAATTACTGATTAATTTAGAAACAATTCTTTAAAATAATTCTCTTTCTCCCTCCTTCCCCCTTTTAAAGAGCTTCTTTTATTCTCGTAAGAATTTCATGAAGCCGTCTCACCAAGGATACCCACACCGGAATTTCCAGGAAGAAATAGAGTTTCTTAATGCAATTTTCCCAAGTAAGTTTAGAAAGAATTTAAACATAACTTTCTCCCTCTTTATTTTTTTTGTCTATCGTGGGGCTTGAACTCTGGTCCTGGGCGCTGTCCCTCAGCTCTCCAGCTCAAGGCGAGTGCTCTACCACTTGAGCTACAGCGCCACTTCCGGTTTTCTAGTGGTTTATTGGAGATAGGAGTCTCACGGTCTTTCCTGCCCGGGCTGGCTTTGAACCGTGATCCTCAGATCTCAGCCTCCTGAATAGCTAGGATTACAGGCGTGAGCCACCAGCGCCCGGCTCTTTCTCCCTCTTTAAAGGTCCAGCTTCACAAGATTTTAAGATAATGAGATCATCTGTATGTAAATGTAGCATAATATGCACTCTTCTGTACTTTATTTATCAGATTATATTTGCCAGGAGTTTACCATATAATAATTGATATTTATAATATTTCATAGAATTCAAAATATGCAAGAGTTAATGAAAATATTAGATGACTTAAAATGAGCGAATAGTTTGTTACAAATCATGTTGTGTCTGCACATGGCCCTTGTAAAAATAATGGTGCATCTCATATTAGTACTGTAGAAAATAGACTGAAGGAGAATATCATGAAGGCTGAGGCAACATTTCTTGAGCCTGAGAGTTCAAGGCTGGCATATGCAACATAGTAAGACCTTTGTTCCTAAAAACAGGAAAAGACAAAGTCAGAATTGAATGCCTGCCATTTTTTTGCTGTTTTGTTTTTAAAAGTGCCAAGGCATTTATATCTAAGTCAGTGGTTCTTAACAGTATAAAGTCAGTATAAAGAAGGATACATTTCTTCCCAGAAGTATGCCCAGTGGTTAATCTCTGCTATTAAATGCTGGTCCCGGCATTTTTATTATTATTTTGACAGTCCTGGGGCTTAATGAACTCAGGGCCTGGGCAATGTCCATGAGCTGCTTTTGCCCAAGGCTAGCACTCTACCACTTGAGCCACAATACCACTTCCGGCTTTTTCTGTTTGGTGCTATATTAAATCCAGGGCTTCATGTGTGCTAGGCAAGCACTCTACCACTAAGCCACATTCCTAGCCCCTAATCTATTCTTCCAACAGTATGGGAAGGAAGTTGACATACAATGACTTATTTAAGTGAATAGCCTAAAGTTGAACTTCCAATTCCTGTGGGAGATGGAAGAGTGTAGACCGTCATTTATCAACTGTTTAGGCCAGCCTATTAGTGGAAATAAAATCTGTCTCAGTGACAGCCTTCAGAGGAAAAAACTTTTTAGTCTAAGGTGGTGATCATACCCATCTTGGAATTCAGTTTTCCTTCACTGATATCATAGGTAGCAAGCATATAGTATAATACACTCAAGCTTATTGGGTAGGTGATAACAAGCCATCTCATTATGAGTTTTTTGTATTTATTTTACATTATGTTCACTCAACAGATGGAGCAGCATATTGTATGGGACGGATGAATTCTGACTGTTGGTATGTTTGCTAAAATTTGGTGCATATTTTTGTTGTCCATTTAAGATCTATTTTAAGTTGTCAATTATTACTTATATAAACCTCTTAACTTTTATATAGGTACTTGTATACTTTGGATTTCCCAGAGAGTCGGGTAATCAGTCAGCCAGATCAAACCCTGGAAATTTTGATGAGTGAGCTTGACCCAGCAGTTATGGACCAGTTCTACATGAAAGATGGTGTTACTGCAAAGGATGTCACTCGTGTAAGCCCGTTCAAGAAAATATTCTATTGTTTTAGAAAAATTGGAGATTAAGCCTATGAGATTTTTTTGCCTGGCTGGCTTCAAACCCAAATCTTAAGATTTTCAGCTTCCTGAATAGCTAGAATTATATAGTACCCAGCTTATAACTATTTTTGTTTCAGTTATAGTTTTTTTTTTTTAAGTTTATGTTTAATTCCATGTTTATTCTCTTTTCCCAGGAGAGTGGAATTCGTGACCTGATACCAGGTTCTGTCATTGATGCCACACTGTTCAATCCTTGTGGGTATTCAATGAATGGAATGAAATCAGATGTAAGTAAAGTAATTATAGCTCGTTTCAGTCTTGGGTGGGTGGGTGGGTGGGGGGGGGGGGGGGGGGGGGGGGGGGGGGGGTGTGTGTGTGTGTGTGTGTGTGTGTGTGTATGATTTTCAGTCTTGGGGTGGGTGTGTGTTTAATTTCCATTGCTAACATAACATTGTTTCTTTAAGGGAACTTACTGGACTATTCACATCACTCCAGAACCAGAATTTTCTTATGTTAGCTTTGAAACAAACTTAAGTCAGACCTCCTATGACGACCTGATCAGGAAAGTTGTGGAAGTCTTCAAGCCAGGAAAATTTGTGACCACCTTGTTTGTTAATCAGGTAATTTAATCCCTCAAAAACTCGTATGTAATTAGACAGGCAGGTGTTCTGCATTTAAGCTATATATATATATATTTTTTTTTTTTTTTGTCGATCGTGGGGCTTGAACTCTGGGCCTGGGCGCTGTCCCTCAGCTCTTCAGCTCAAGGCAAGCGCTCTACCACTTGAGCTACAGCGCCACTTCCACTTTTCTGGTAGTTTATTGGAGATAGGAGTCTCAGGGTCTCTCCTGCCTGGACTGGATTTGAACCGTGATCCTCAGATCTTAGCCTCCTGAGTAGCTAGGATTACAGGTGTGAGCCACCAGCGCCCGGCTAAGCTATATTCTTTTTTTTTTTTTCTTTTTGCTTATGTGGTGCTGAGGAATCGAACCCAGGGCCTCAGGCATGCAAGGCAAGCGCTCTACCACTGAGCCACCTTCCCAGCCCC